AACATGTTAAACTGGGGTTATTCACTGATCAGCCATAACTTTATGACCATCCACCATAACCCATCGAGACTTGGACTTCACTAGACCTCTGAAGGTATGCTGTGATATCTGACACCAAGCCGTCAGTAGCAGATCCTTTAAGTGCTGTAAATTGTGTGGTGGGGATTAATGGATTGGACATGTTTTTCCAGCACATCCCAAAGATGCTCTATTGGATAGAGATCTCTAGAACATGGAGGCCAAGTCAACACCTCAAACTTATTATGTTCCTCAAACCATTCTTGAATTCATCAAACTAGGCCACTTTCTTCCATTGATCCTGTGGTCCAGTTTGGTTACTCATGTTGCTCATTGTAGGTGCTTGTGGCTGCGGACAAGAATCTGCATGGGCACCCTGGCTGGTCTGCAGCTATTCAGACTGTGATGCACTATGTGTTCCAACACCTATCAGAACAAGCATTAGCTTTTTCAGCAATTTGAGTTACAGTAGCTCTTCTATTGGATCAGACTACACAGGTCAGCATTTGCTCCCAACAAGCATCGGTGAGCTTTGGCCACCCATGACCCTGTTGCTGGTTCACCAGTTTTCCTTCCTTGGACCACGTTTGGTAGGTCCCAACCACTGCAAAGCAAGAACATCCCACAAGAGTTGTCTACCCATTACAATTTAGCCCTTTTCAAAGTCGCTCAGATCCTTAAGCCCATTTTTTTTCTACTGTCAGCACATCTTCTAGGACAATATTTTCACTTGTTGCCGAATATATACCACCCACCTTCAGATGCCATTGTAATCAGATAATCAATGTTGTTCACCTTACCGGTCAGTGGTCATAATGATTTGGCTGATTACAAAATGTGATCTGTTCAGGTTCACTTAATGCAAGTGTGCTCAGAACTTACATTCCAAATAGAGATTATATTCCCAGGGAAAATGCAAAGGCAATGCAAAGGCTGAAGGCGAAACAGATGCAATGGAACACCAGTGAGGGCATACCATAAGAGCAGGACTTACAATTTGCCGTAAGTCCCCAGAGTGCAAAAGATGATAGACCTGGATACCAACAAGGTAAGCAAACTTTACTTACAAACAGGCCCTTCTGTTAATGTTTTACAGAAATGCACTCTTTATAGCAGATAAATCAAATCCAATGTAAAGCCGCACAGTCCTGATGATGCTCTATACTTGGTACAATTGGGTGCTTGTACTGATGGAGGGACAATGGGTGTTCAAAGTCTAATAGTAAAATGTAGAAAGTCACCAATACTCAGAAGATGCAGTCTCAAAAATGTATTGTAGACATATACCATCACATAAGTCATACTGCCAATGTTTTGGGGCCTCCTTCCTCAAGGCAACTCAGTGACAATAAACACAAAGACCGATACAATGTACATTCATCAACCACTTTATTAGCTACACCTGTTGTTTCAATTGCTTGGTAACACAAATTGTTCATCAGCCAATCACATGGCAGCAACTCAATGCATTTAGGCCTCAAGACGTGGTTAAGACTACTTGCTGAAGTTCAAACTGAGCAGCAGAATGGGGAAAAAAGGGAATTTAAGGGTGTTCGAACATGGCATGGTTGTTGGCGCCAAAACTGCAGACCTACTGGGATTTTCACACACAACCATCTCTAGGGTTTACAGAGAATGGTCAGTAAAAGAGAAAATATTCAGGGAGCAGCAGCTGTGTGGACGAAAATGCCTTGTTGATGTCAGAGGTCGGAGGAGAATGGGCAGACTGGTTGCTGTGACATTCAGATGGTAGGGTCAGAATTTGGTGTGAACAACATGAAAGCATGGATACATCCAGCCTTGTATTAACAGTTCAGGTTGTTGGCGGTGGTGTAATGGTGTTGGGGATATTTTTTTGGCACTAGCAAGGTGTACCTAATAGAATGGCTAGTGAGTGTATATAGAGCAAGATGACCTTCAGCAACCAGAGTCCCACTCCTTCAATGATACCAACAGAACATTATACTCCTAACAAAGTCATAGAGATAATGCCAAAAATGAACACAACATTTAACTGCAATAGTTACAAAAACACCCATGTGCAAATAAACTTTCAGTGAAGCAAATGAGCCATTTCCCCTTAGGATCACCATCAAGATGCTGAATGATCAGCAGAGAAAACTAGCAATGAAGTCACCGTTGCTAAACAACAGAGGCATCAGTACCGCCAAGATACTGCCCAAGCTGGGGATCTTCCAAGCGGAGTTGCCCTGAGGAAGAGGACCCTGCGAGGCTCGGAAATGTTGGCAACTTTGACCTATGTTATGTTATGCTTCTACAAAACAAATCCCCTTTTGGGTGGTGGTGATTTTCTACATTTTATTCTTTACAGCAGACACATCAAACTGCTGTTTTTGTTCGGAAATATGCACCCTTTTGTATACACCTTGACCAGTAAAACATTTAATATAAATAAGGGAGATAGGGCATTGAAGAGATGGGTGGAGGGTTAACAGTGGGGCAGGGCAGTGAAGGGGAGGGATTACTGTCCATGCATCCTCTTACCCCTGCACTGTTGCCCCCTGAACGCTGAATGGCCGCCTACAGACCCACACTACATGCGGATTTTCATGCCTTGAATAGAACTGTTTTTTAAACCATTAAATTGATGGGTTTAGGTCTGCTTTAAAGCGGAACTTTACCCATAACAACATGAACAATAATGTTTTTTAAACAAGTAACATACATTCTATATTAATAATTTTGTTGTCAAAAGGAGTGTGAGCTTTAAATTGCCTCCAGCATTGTTCCTTTTTCTTCTTGCTGGAGGCCGCCATTTTCCTGAAGCCCAGAGCCCCTGAGCAGCAGTAAATCTTTAGGCTGGCAGCAGATCAGCTTCTACATTTTTGGCACAGAGCTGAAAAACAGAAAGCAACTGAGCATGTGCAGAGCAGGGTGAGACACTGTATTACTGGATTTTAAACAGCATAGGCACTTATTTTTTAATGTTTTACATAGCTATACCTGCAAAAGTCTGACGTGATCTAGCAAGACTTAATTTTCTGACTAAAGTTCCACTTTGAATTGAACAGTTTTGGAAAACAGTTAAATCAATGGGTTTAGTTCTGCGTTAACACTCTTCTTTTGCAGGGGACATATTTCATAAATATGGGTATGTGACAAAGTCCCTTCAATACGGACTTGGACAGAAGTCAAAGCCCTGTATACTTCCTGGGCCTACCATCCAAAGGGTTCCTACAAGGAATTGAAGAGCTGTTAACTTTTGCACTGTTCAGGTCAGGCTCATTGTAATCCGGCTCTCTGTTCCAGTTCAGTCTGATATGTCTAGGTTACAGTGCAGAGTTTCAGTGGGAGGACTCAACTGTCCTGTGATGTTCAGTACACCTAAAAATTCCTGTAAAAGAAATCTTGTACTGTATGGAATTGAGATTACAGTGATATACTGAAATCATTGGATATATTCTAAGTAATAACACATTATGCTATATTATACATCAATCAGACATAACAATATGTCCACTGACAGGTAAAGTGAATAACATTGATTATCTCATTACAATGGCACCTGAAAATGGGCAGGACTTATTAGGCAGCAAGTAAACATGTTGTCCCTGAAGTTGATTTGTTAAAAGCAGAAAAAATGGGCAAGTGGAAGAATTTGAGTGATTCTGACAAGGGCCAAATTGTAATAGCTAGACATCTGGGTCAGAGGATCTCCAAAACTGCAGCTCTTGTGGGATGTTCCTGGTCTGCAATGGTCTGGACCTACCAAAAGTGGTCCAAGGAAGGAAAACTGGCAAACCAGCAACAGGGTCATGGGGGGCAAAGGGATCACAGATGCAGTGGGGAGCAAATGCTGCCACATGTAGTCCAATCCAATAGAAGAGCTACTGTAGCTCATATTGCTGAACACGTGAATGCTGTTTCCAATAGAAAGATGTCAGAAACATACAGTACATCACAGTTTGTTGCATAAGGGGCTGTGTAGCAAAAGACCAGTAAGGGTACCCATGCTGACCCATGTCCACAGCCAGAAGCACAAACAATGGGCATGTGAGCATCAGAACCGAACCATGGAGCAAGAGAAGAAGGTAGCCTGGTCTGATGCATTCAAGAATGGGTTGAGGAACACAATGAGTTTGAAGTGTTGACTTGGTCTTCAAATTCTTCAGATCTCAATCCAATGGAGCATCTGTAGGATGTGCTGGAAAAACAAGTCCAATCCATGGAGGCCCCACCTCACAATTTAAAATGGAACTAACCCCCCCTCTTCTTTTCAGCCAAGGATGCTGCCATCTTAGCCTCTGTTTGATCTGCAACTGCCAGGATGCTACACATGTGATGTTATTATACCAGATATCTTTTGACAGTTTGGTTGAGAGTGCAAGCAAATGTGACAGTTAGCATTCCCAGCAAGCCTTGAATGTACTGTAACTGTTAAATCGATGGGATTAGTTCTGCTGTAACCACTTCAAGTCCGGAGACTTTTACCCCCTTCCTGACCAGGGCAATTTTCAGCTTTCAGCACTATCACACTTGGAATGACAATTGCGCGGTCATGCAACACTGTACCCATATGAATTTTTTACCATTTTTTTGAGACAGATAAAACTTTATTTTGGTGGTATTTATTCACCGCTGGGATTTTTATTTTTTTTGCTATGTAAATGAAAATGTCCAAAAATGTTGAAAAATGTGTTTTTCTTATAAAATTTTGCAAATAAATAATATTTCATCATAAATCTTGACCAAAATGTATTCTGTTATCTTTTTAGTTAAAAACAAAATAAGCCAAATTAGTTTATAACCAAAAATTATAATTTTTAAACATTTTTTTTTTACATTTTTATATTATTGTTTATTTTATTTTTCACCATGGTGACACTGTACTACTTTTGGGGGGTGATGAAGATTTTTTTTTTTTTTTTTTTTGATGCCACCGATTGCTTTTACACCCATATAGGATATAAAAGCAATCATTTCTCTTTCTCTCTGTCTGCATTCTTGCAGCCATTGATAACTACTGAGTGAGCTGTGATTGGTTACAGCTTGTCACATGGTACAAGGCTGTTGTGAATAACCTTGTACCATGTGACCTCTGTGATCATTCACAGATTTCACACGTAGTAAGCAATGATGTCACAAGTGACATCTTGCTTACTACTTTGCATGTACATGATCGGGACCTCGTACAGAGGTCCCGTCCGACGATCGGTGTTTCACTGTGTCTGGAGGACACAGCGGGCACCAGATCGTGGTGCTGCGCGCGCGCTCCCGGGTAGCGCGCACAAGCAGGGTGCGGGGAGGCTGTTTATAAACGGCCACCCCCGACCCTGCAGTGCCACCGTCCGGCTGTTTATATACAACAGCTGGTCGGGAAGTGGTTAAAGGATCTGCTACTGAAGGCTTGGTGCCAGATACCATGGCACACCTTCAGAGGTCCAGTGGAGTCCATGGCTTGACAGGTTATGGTGGGAGGTCATAATGTTAAAGCGTTACTAAACCCAGGACCCTGCATTCACTACATCTGGTCTCCCACAGTACACAGAACATGGAAGTGCAAATATTTTAGTAAATATAAACTGCTAAATAACTTTTCTCATCAGAAGTTAGAGCAGTCTTGTGAATTCTATCAGTGTTCAGCATAGCACTGGTTAAAGCTTGTAGGAGGAGTTTTCATTCTCCCTTGATTGTTCCATGAGGCTGGATAGCTCCTGACCCTCTGTCTGGGCAGTGCTGATTGGCTCTGTGCTGATCACATGCACTCTCCCAAGAAAAAAAAAACTCTCCAGCAATACACACCAAACTAACCATGTGCAGCTTGCCCCCAAGGCTCTGTTCTATCAGCAGATGGATTTGGGACTGTGGAAAAAAGGGAGGATCAGAGAAGACAGGATCAAACAATCTTTTTACATAATGCAGATGATTAACCCCTTAGGTTCCACAGTGAATATAACAAGCATGTTAAAGTGTTACTAAATCCAGGACTCTGCATTTACTATATCTGGTCTCCCACAGTACACAGAACATGGAAGTGCAATTATTTTAGTAAATCTAAACAGCTAAATACCTTTTCTCATCAGCAGTTAGAGCAATCATGTGACTTCTATCAGTGTCCAACAGAGCACTGGTTAAAGCTTGTCGGAGGAGTTTTCATTCTCCCCTCACTGTCCTATGAGGCTGCAGAACCCTCTGTCTGGACAGTGCACCCTCCCAAGAAAAAAAAACCCTCTAGCAATATAGCAATACACCCCAAAATGAGCATGTGCAGCATGCCCCAAAGGCTCTGTTCTATCAGCGGGTGGATATGGGACTATAGAAAAAGGGGAGGATCAGAGAAGACAGGATCAAACATCCTTTTTACACAATGCAGAGGATTAACCCCTTAGGTTCTACCGTGAGCCTACCAAACATGCTTTAGTGCATATTTGGGTCTAGTAATACTTTAAAGCTGATCGGTGTATATACCTAATTAGAATTGGTGATCTTGTACAACCCTTGCTATAACTACCCTCCCCCCTTTCAAGGTTCCCGGGGGAAAAAAGAGCGCAGTTCCAGTGGGAATGCTGCACGAAGGCCTACCATGATGAAACAAGAAGTCGAGGAGGAACAAGCATCCTGCAGCTTTTCGAGTTGTCATGTCTGGACCAGGGGCGGACTGACCATTCAAGCACTGCCCAAGGGCCCGGGGTCAGTAGGGGGCCCCATGAGATGCCTCTGGTACCTTTCATTGGCATTTTTGGGTGTGGGCAAGAACACAGGGGCCCCATGATCCCCTATTGCCCGGGGGCCCCGTGAGTTGTCAGTCCGCCCCTGATCTAGACTATCATGTCCCTAATATTTAATGCAGAAGCTTGAACGAGCAGGGCCCTCTGTTTCCTCTTCTACCAAATTGAATTGGAACTGGAATGTCTGCCTTCATTTTCATAAAACTGTTGGCGCTATATAAATCCTGTATAATAATATAATAATAGTAAAAAAGATGGATTTCTGATATCTGTTTTGACATTCATTTAAAACAAAAGAAAATCCCATGTGGAGTCAGAGATCACAAAGGACTGGTGAAGTGAATGGGAAGATCAGGTATCAGAGCACAGTGATGAGCAGCAGACAAGGTGACAAGTCCTGTACAAGGGATGGGCACAGGGCACGGAGATCGGAGGGATGAGCTGTCAGGCCCCATGCAGCCCATTCTTACCTGCGATGCTCAGGCTCCAAGTGTACAGCCTCAGGGTGTCATTGATGAGCTCGGACACGGTGCTCAGCATCCTGCCCCCTCTGTCCAGCAGCAGCGATCAGCTCTCAACACTAATCCTATGTATAACACGAGGTCAGTAGGAGCCGGCAGATCGGGGCATGGCGTGTGACTGCGCAGACGGGACACAAAACCGACGATGATGGCGGAGAACAACTGCGCCACCTCTCCTCCAAATGACAGCTCGGCGCGCACACGTGACGCGGTTACCCGGGTTACAGCCGCATTCCAAGCTCAGCCTCCCAGTCACTCCAGCATCCAATGGTCCTTGTGTGGGCGTGTCTGCGATGGTAATGAGAGGTGGTGGGCTCGTGTTGTAGGGGAGAGGAGGGTGGGCTGTGAGTAGGGGAGAGGAGGGTGGGCTGTGATGTAGGGGAGAGGAGGGTGGGCTGTGTTGTAGGGGAGAGGAGGGTGGGCTGTGCTGTTTGCTGCAGTGCTCATAACACAATACTGCCAGAGGAAGAACTACATTGTTCATTAGCTCAATGAGGCTGCATTCATTTCCATCAAAAGAAAAGTCCTGATCTTCATAAAGGGGCCAGATGATTGGTTGTTCAACGCTACGTTTACACCTAAACGTCACGTTTTCGAGCGTCTTTTGGAGCAGAATTGCACATTTTTGCAGCTTTTGCCTGATTTCTTTTTTAGGCTTTTTCTTATGTGGCCAATGGAAAGCTAAAAAGGGGCGGAGATAGGGTTGCCACCTCATCCCTTTAAACACCTAATAATTACATAGGTTCTGAGGCTGATTGAATGCAAAAAAGGCACTGAGTTTAATTCCCAACGTAATCAGCCACAGAATCTTTGTAACTAACGTGTGTTCGGTTTTAAAGGGATGAGGTGGCACCCCTAAGCGGAGAGCTGCTGCTTGAGCCGAAAACGTGCGACAATTTTCTCATGTCGTGCTTTTCAGGCTCTTTTCACATATTTGAATTGCAGTAGCAGATCTAGACAAATGTTTTTGGGGGTGCTATGCTGGTGCTTGAAGTATGAGTGGGGGTGCTAATGCAGCATACAAAGCATGCCAGCAACCTCGGACATATGGGTGTGGCCATCAAGTGGGTTTGGCCAGCAAGTGGATGTTTCTTCATGATCTATGACTTGTAGTATAACACTTTCCCACCTTTGTATAGACCAAATTAGACCTGGGGTTGAACTGACGAGACTTTGGGATTAAAATAAGCCAAGCTGGGGCCAGTAATGAAAACCCATAGCTTGTGTCAAATTCAGCAATAACCCCCAGCACATCAAAATAATTATCTCCCAGCACTTCACAATAATTAATCCACAGTAGGACACAAAAATTAACCCGTAGCACAGCACAGTAATTAACCAGCGTTCAATACTTAACTCTCAGCATGGCACAGTAATAAATCCCACCACCATTGCACAACAATTAGCCCTCAACATTGCACAACAATTAACCCCCCAAAATTATACAATTAGACCCCAGCATTGTATGGTAAATAACTCACAGCACATCACAACAATTAACCCCCAGCACGACACAGTAATAAACACCCAGCACAGCACAATAATTATTTAGCACAGTATAGTAATGAACCTCCAGCAACACACATTAATTAAGCCCCAACATTGCACAATATTAAACCCCCAGCAGTATAGCAATCAGTTAGCCCCTCGTCTGTATATCAATAAAAAGCAAAAAAAAAAAAAATGCAGCATAACTCTACGCAGACATCTTTTGTAAATAAGCTGCTGACAGCTGGCATCCTCACCGTCCCTACGATTGTGCTATTGACCTCCAACCAGGGACTACTCCACCTCGAGGTAAAGTCTACCCTCTCTCCATTCCTGAGACTCAAACTATGTCTGAGTACATCCAGGAAAATCTGCTGAAAGGATTTATCCGTAAGTCCAATTCTCCTGCTGGCTTCTTCTTTGTGGAGAAAAACGATGGTATATTCCAGCCCTGCATTGATTATAGAGGTCTCAATGCCATTCCTGTTAAGACTCGGTATCCGTTACCTTTGATTTCTAATTCTTTGACAGGCTCCTGGATGCTCGAATTTTCACAAAACTAGATCTCCATGGTACATACAATCTGGTTAGGATCCGTGAGGGTGATCAGTGGAAAACAGCTTTCAATACCAGAGAAGTGCATTGTGAATATCTTGTAATGCCCTTTTGGCTTGTGTAACACCCCAGCCATCTTTCAGAACTTTATTAATGAAATTTTTTCTGATCTCCTATACATTTGGGTCATTGTCTATCTGATGACATACTCATCTTTTCTCTAGATTTGAACACTCATCGTCAGTACATATGTACTCTCCTTCTATGTCTTCAGGACCACCACCTCTATGCAAAGTTGGAGAAGTGCCTCTTCGAGCAAACCCTGGTTCCTTTTCTAGGCTACATAGTCATGGATAATGGGCTGCTTATGGATCCTGCCAAACTCCAAGCCATCTCCAACTGGTCTCATCCCTCTGGTCTGAAAGCCACACAGCACTTTTGGGATTCACCAATTTCTATCGCCAGTTCATTCCTGACTATACCTTGCTGGTGGCCCCAATCACTTCTTTGACCGGGAAGGGTGCCAACACCAGAACATGGCCTCCTGAGGCAGTCGAGGCGTTCCATAAACTAAAATCCACCTTTCTTTCTGCATCTATTCTCGTACGTCTGGACATTTTTCAGCCTCTCTTCTTGGAGGTAGATGCTTCATCTTTGGGAGTGGGGGCCCTCCTTCTCCAAATGCATGATGATAAGCTCCGTCCTTGTGCCTTCTTCTCTAAGAAGTTTTCGAATGCGGAAAGGAATTACACCATCGGGGACCGGGAACTGCTGGCTATAAAGCTGGCATTGTAACAATGGTGACACCTGCTGGAGTGATCTCCACATCATATCCTGATTTATACTCATCATAAGGCCTGACTTTTGAATCCAAACAAG